AAGTACAACAACCGACCCACCAATCTTTGATACCTTTCAACATCCTTCACTAGCTCACCGTTTAAAGCATTCATCCTGTGATTCTGATCAATAGGTGTATTAGGTTCCCTTGCCCCTAGTTTTCTTGTCTCCTTTGTGAAATGAGAATCTCATGCTTGGACCTTTCCACCTCAATGCTCAAAAAATACTTCATCTTTCCAAGGTCCTTAATCTTCAAGGTATCAATATCGCTTAGATCATTTCTTGTGACTACATTGTCATTCACATACACTATCAACACGGACACCAGTGATCCCCTCCTTTTTCACAAATAGAGTATGATCAGATTGAGTTTGAGTATAGCCAAACAATCAATGTACTTCTAAACCTGTCAAACCAAGCTCTGGGTAATTGCTTCAAATCGTATAAAGGCTTCTTTAGTCTACATACCTTCCCTTTAGCCACATCATTGTAAAAACCAACTAGAAGATCTATGTACACCTCCTCTTGCAGGTCATCATTAAGAAAATCATTCTTCACATCAAGTTGGAAGAGGGTCCAAGAGTAGGTGCTAGTGATAGGAGAATCTGAACTGAAATTATCTTTGCCATTGGTGCGAAGGTCTCCAAGTAATCTATCCCATAAGTCTGAGTGTACCCTTTTGCAACTAGCCTTGCCTTGTACCTTTCTATGCTTCCATCAGCCCTGCACTGTATAATCCTATCTACATCAAACTATTTCCTTGCCACTAGGTAAATCCACAATTTCCCATGTTTGATTTTTCATCAATGCTTACATTTCCTCTTGCATAGCTATCTTTCGTTCAGGTTTGGAGTGAGCCTCACTAACACTACTGGGTATAGACATAGAGTCAAGGGAGGAAAGGAAGGCCCGATAAGATGGAGACAACACACTGTAGGAAAGATAGTGTGAGATGTAATGAGTAGTACACTTTCTCTTCCCTTTTTGGAGTGCAATAGGAAGATTTAAGTCATCTGCAATAGTGTTAGAAACAGGGGTGGTAGTATCAACAAGAACTAAACCATCAGAGGAAACAAGAGGCATACCTGGGTTTGTGTCAGTTGAACTTGGAATCTTGGATAAGCCGATAGGGAGTGACGTGGGTTCCTTTGCTGTAGAATCAACCTCCCTATGTTGTCGTAGGCGCTGTCATGTAAAACACTGAGAGGTAGGACGCAATGGAGGTGGCAAAGTGGGTGGAGTAGGTGGGTCAGACACAGGAGTGGACAAAGGAGTTGGAATAGGAAGTGGTATAAATTGCTCACTTCCTTCCCCAAAAACACTCTCCCTGAGAGGAACTCCCCAAGAAAAAAGGTGTGGACTCAAAAAAGGTGAAATCCATAGTAGCATACCGACTCCTTGAGACTGATTGGATCATAACAACAATACCCCTTCTGATTTTTTGCATACCGAAGGAAGACAAACTTCTTTTCCTCAGGGTCTAGATTTGAGCGGTGAGGGCCAAGAATATGGACAAAACATACACATCCAAACACTCTTAAAGAAGATGGGACATCTCATCCTTGGGAAAAAGAAGGCTAAACGGAGTATTGTATCCAAGAACACGAGAGGGTACCCAATTAATCAAGAAAATTGCTATAAGGGTTGCATCACCCCAAAAATGAACTGGAATTGCAGATCTCACCATTGTACTTTGTGCTACTTCCACAATATGTCTGCTCTCTTTGCTGCTACACCATTCTGTTGTAGAGTGTACGTACAACTACTCTGGTGGACTACTCCATGCTCCAACAAGTATGATGTCAGGTTTTTCTCAAAGTATTCTCTGGCATTATCTGATCTAAACACTTTCACTCGTACCCGAAATTGCGTCAATACCATCTGATGGAACTGTTGTACCAAAGAAGGTATCTTGTCATGGGATCTCATCAAATATATCCAAGAGTATTGAGAATAGTCATTCACAAACAAAAGAATACTGATAGCCACCCATAGAAGAGATATGATATGGTCCCCACACATCAATATGAACAGTATAAAAAATGGAAGAACATCTTTTATTACTTGCTTTAAATGAATGCCTACAATGCTTTCCAAGTTGACAACCCTCACATTCTAAGTTGGACAAACTAACATACTCAAACAACTTTGGAAATAAAAAACGCAAATAAGCAAAAGATAAATGTTCTAACCGATTATGCCAAAGCATAATCTGACCCATTGACTCTGACTCATTATCCCTACTGACATGATGACTTTGATGATTGGGAAGCACATCAAGAAGATAGATTTCATTCACCTGACGACCACTCCCAATCGTTCTCTTTGATTCTAGATCATGCAAAACGCAATGACTAGGACAAAAAACCACTAAAAAACTCAAATTCTTTATCAAACTACTAATAAATAAATGATTAGTGCTCAGTCTATGGACATGAAGTATAGAAGGCAGGGTAATGGTATCGGTTATCTTGACAGACCCTTTCCCAGCAATGGGAACATGTGATCCATTAACTGTGGAAACTCTATTTTTACTAGAGCATAGGTGGTATGAGGAGGATATAGTGGAAACATTGGTCATATGTTTTGAGGCTCCTGAGTCTATAATCCAGGGAGGTCCCCCCTTATCTGTAGTGGATGCATAATTTGTAGTGGCATGCGAACTACCTCCTGATCCACCTGGACCTTGTTGTCCACCTAATGATGAGCTGGAACTGGTTGTATCCCTCAAACTTAGAAACTACCCATATCTCTCCAACTCGACCTTAATTACAGCTGTTGCAATGTACTCTAGAGAAGCTGTAGTAGGTGGTCTCGATAAATCATTAGTCACTGCCATATTAAAATTTCCTTTGTTTCTGAGTCGGCTCAGTATAAGGTGTGGGGAAAGCTTCTAGCAGGTATCTAGTATGTTTGGGTTTTTTTATAGTAGTCATAAATCAAGTCCTTGTTCTCCTTCCTAGATTCATTGCCAACCTTATCCTCGCTTCACCGTGCTAACCATAGCCGAGTGCTCAAGGCTTGGGTTTCTCATCATCACATTCCTCCTACTCTCCTCTCCAGACACAAAGGCATATGCCCAAGAGAGAGTTACACTTTCTCGGGAAAGAATATGTTGTCATGCAATGTCATATTCAGGGTTGAGTCCTGCTAGAAACTTGAATACCCTTTCTTCTCTACTAGCTTCTGATAAGTTGTTGCATCTTTACTACTCTCTCAAACCATAGTCTCCAAATGATCTATCTCCTGCCATAAGGTTTTGATGGCTGAAAAATAAATTGCAACAAACTTATTTCCTTGCCTAATAGCAATCACTTGATTTCTCAACTGGTAGGCTCTAGCAACATTCTAACTTTGTGAATAAGTTTTTGCTACTCCATCCCAAATCTGCTTAGCTGTGTTGGCCCATAGAAAGTTTTGACTTATATGGGGTAACATGGAAGTGCATAGCCAGGTCATCACCATGTAGTTCTCCTATACCCACTGGGAGTAGTTAGTCTTAGGTTTCTTCTTTTCACCAATGACATACCCCAATTTTCCATGAGCTCCAATGGCCATCTTTGCAGATTGTGACCATTCTAAATAGTTTGTACCGTCCAACTTGATTGTAGTGATGGTCCTTAGGTTTCTTCTTTTCACCAATGACATACCCCAATTTTCCATGAGCTCCAATG